CAGTGTATACTATTGAGTCAGTCACAAAACCCCTGAGTTTCCACCTTACACACATGTAATTCTGTCTTTGTGTTCTCTATGTAAAGAGCAACTACATTTTTCGTCATCCTTAAAACAAAAACAACAACAACAACAACAACAATAAAAAAATAAAACACCAAAACCACTTTGCTGTCATTTAAAAATGTTTCTCAACTGCTCACTGGCAGTCTATATCAATGGCCCTTGCTTTGCATTTTTTGTATAATTCAGAACTGTGACTCACCAAATCTGAAGCATTTTATGCATGAAAGGGCAACGAATCCAGCTGCAACTAAGAAAAACAGTGCTGTTCCTCCAATGGTGATGGCGATAGTGTGAGGATCAGACTTCATGCAGACACCTGAAATGACATAACATTGTGTTGACATATGAACAGATAATTCATATTATACTTAATATAAAATACCATATATCTGCAAGTTTTTCTTCAAGTCTAATGGAGTCCTTATTGGTAGGAAATAAACACCCAGTGCCCTGCCAGGTTTCTTAATCAGGCTACTAGATTGAGACAGTGACACATGCTAAACTGTACTGCCAACAAACTCAACAGGACTCCAGACAATGTCAAGAATAGAGGCGATATGCAAACTGGCAAGCATGTGGTGCAGAGGCCGTACATAGGTTGTATTGGAGTAAAGATATAATTTGTTATCATGATCTCTAAGCAGCACAGTGGCACGGTGGTAAGCACTGTTGCCTCACAGCAAGAATTCAATTCCACGATCAGGCCGGGGTCTTTCTGTGGGGAGTTTGCATGTTCTCCCTGTGTTTGCGTGGGTTCTCCCCAGGTAATCCGGCTTTCTCCCAGCATCCAAAGACATGCATAAGCGGAAGAGAATGGATAGATGGATGGATTGGTCTCTAAGTATAGATATTTTGGCTAGAACTACATTATCAATCACAGGTGTGTTCTGCGGTGCCGTTGCAGGGAAGCCAGACGCACCTGTGCATTGCAATCAGCCTAGAATCTGTGTAGGGTCCTATGTTTGGGATCATCGTTGATGTATATGGCTGGCAGCCAAGCGTGTACAGCAAGCGTGACAGAGATAATAAAAGATGCGCGAAGCATGAGAGTACACCCAGGTCTGGTGTGGATTTCTTACAGCTTAAAATAAAGACAACAGTGGGTTAGGGTGTCAATCCTGGTGTGAAGTGACATGTGGAAAGCAACTAGAGAGCAAATGGTTAACATAGTGGTCATCTGATAAAACTCCACACACGGTAATTTATAGAAATCCCAATAAAACCTACACATAAACCCCAAATAGATAGCAAATGCATTTAAAAAAAATGTGAATATGGGTGTTTGAATGCACACGTGAAGATCTGGCATACCTGGTATGAGGATCTTTGTTTCCCTGGTCTGGTTAAACTCTGGTTGATGAACTCTGCAGGTGACACTGTTTGACAAATACACAGTTTATACCTCACATCATATAAGTGAAAATCTAATTTCACAGTTAGTTGGTTAAACATAATCTGCAGTATTGTGCAAAAGTCTTGAGCCAGTCTACGTGCAATAAATCACTGCACTTTTTCCCCTCTAAAGAATTATATGGGGGGAAGTGCAGTGATTTATTGAAAAGTACAAACACAAATGGGCCCACAGTCTGAACTCTCTTAGGCAATGTTTCTTGTCATTTCTTTAGGTAGTCTTCAAGAATACTCATCGGGGTTCCTGAAGGTCATTGAAATTCTCCTTTGGATGTTTATTTTGTGTTGTGTCCTGATGATCTCACAGTGTGAATATAGGGGCCCTGGCTCTCAGGAGGCCAGTCCACAGCAGATAGGGTTACACTGCACGAGAACTACTCCTGACAGTTACTTAATGAGATTAGAGCCAGAGAAACAATGAGTTCTGACGCTGTGTTTTCCTGTTGTCCTATCAGAATATAAAGAGAGAGATTCAAGACTTTTGCACAGTACTGTAATAAAATTAAAAAAATGCTTATCCAATTATTAATGTCTAAAAAAATATGTATAACCTGCTGGTAGCTCTTTGCAGAGTGGCTCTTTGTGTCACAGTGAAACATCCACAGGCATCTTGTTGTCCTTTGGGGTTTTCCCCATAGATGTTCTTTCCATTGTCATCCAGAAATGTTACCTGAGGCTCTGGCAGCCAGCAGTTTGCTTCACAATGCAGAGTTATGGCATCACCCTCCACTGAAATCACTGAAAGCCTTGGCTCAGAAACAGCCACTGTAAAAACAACAAAACCAGAAGGTGTGATCATTAAATCTGCCATCCGACGCACCTGTCCTTATTTCTGATAAACCTGTTATTGTTTTTATGTTAAAGTTACATCTATGACGTCAAACCCACACTTTATAACACTCTTGGCTTCTGAAGAAGAATGAAAGACACTAAGTGATACACAGACAATACAAACTGCTTTTACACAATTAAATTAAACTATTTATAGACTGTATCAAATCACAACAGCAGTTGCCTCAGAGCGATTTAAACTGTAAGGTCACGACCCTATGATATTTATATGGAGCTGTGCTTTTTATAAAGTAATCAACTTTTCTAAAGCTCCTTGAAATTGAGCGTTTAAGTAGATGAGTGTCTCCTCCTATAAAAAAAGACTTTGGTTCCTGAAAGTCTGTTCCTCTGATGAAAGGAAGATTATCTCATGTGAACCAATCCTTAACCATGGCAACTTTTACAGGAGTTTAAATCTTACATTGGTCAAATATTATTAATAGTATAATATGCACTTCTGAGCAAGGCCAACTGGCCATATTCCCAGTAAAATAATGAAATAAAGCTGGTGTCATTTGAAGGTTTAGCACACACAATTTACTTTACAGACCCCCCACCCCCCAAAAAATGATGCAGGTACCACCATGGTTGTGTTAATATTTTTCATTCATTAGGGACAAAAATATATCCAAATTTGTAGCAATAACAGAATTTTATCTACTATCCCTGGCAGAGGTTTGGTGATGCAATGGTTGCTTGTTTAAGGTCTAATGACTGTGACTCAACTTCAGGGATTTAATGGAGACACGAATGAAACAAGAATTTCAAGAAATGCAATAGTCTCATTTCCTGTTTTTCATTATTGGCAGTGGCAGCTTGATTTAATGTCCACATTTGGTCTACATCACATTTAAACAGAGAGACATGAAACCAAATGAGGACACACCGGATATGTTCTTCCGGTCCAGCCCACAGGTGGGCGATTGCTAATGATCAACCAGTTATGAAACACCCAACTATTAAAAAGAAGAGTCAAATGTGTACACACACTGAACTCAAAGGACATTCCTGTGGATGAAGCTGTTGTTTGTACTTTAAGCTTCAGAAACGACTCAGAAAACAGTCACATATTTTTAACCCATGAGGATTAAATGTTATGTACACAATGTATTATTTAAAGAGCAAAGTGGAATTGATTCTCAGTGTTTTTCATAACTGCTACTATATTTACAGCCCATACTCAGGATACTTGCCACTAAAGTGTGATATATAGCTGAAAGTAGTGGCTCTGTGTTTAAATAATCTCTATTCTGTTCCTTCCATTTGTGGGCGATCGTGGCTTAAGAGTTGGGAGTTTGCCTTGTAATTGGAAGGTTGCCGGTTCGAGCCCCGGCTTGGACAGTCTCGGTCGTTGTGTCCTTGGGCAAGACACTTCACCCGTTGCCTACTGGTGGTGGTCAGAGGGCCCGGTGGCGCCAGTGTCCGGCAGCCTCGCCTCTGTCAGTGCGCCCCAGGGTGGCTGTGGCTACAATGTAGCTGCCATCACCAGTGTGTGAATGTGTGTGTGAATGGGTGGATGACTGGATATGTAAAGCGCTTTGGGGTCCTTAGGGACTAGTAAAGCGCTATATAAATACAGGCCATTTGGAAATCTGTTTAAAGTTTCCTTTTTTGGATCTATTATGCTATGTTTTTATCTTTGAACTCAACTAGAGCAGCTTTGTATATGTCACAGTCAAAATATGGTCTACTCGTCTTTTATTGGTGGTTGGTGCAACTCTTCTGTTCAGCTCCACTGTCTAAAAGAAGCCAGTTTCCCCTGTTTCCTATGCTTTCTTCTGTTGACCTCCATAAACAGTACATTTGAACAGAAGGAAAGTTTTCTCTAGCAAGATAGTGGCTAACTTTATCAACCAATAAAGCTTGATACTCATTAAGACTCATTTAACTTTGAAGTAGTTTTAGACTGTTGACAACTAAAGGCTGAAATGTGAGAAGTTTTACAAGTGTGTGGATTTATGGACGTATCATTGATTTTTATTCAGTTGCTATACGACCTGAAGAACGGATTCAGATTTTTAGGTATAAAAATCTGAATCCGTATAGCTCAATTGTTTATTCAAAAGGAAAATCAAATAGATAGAAGATGAAATGAGATACAGATGCAGAAAAGAAGCAGCTCACAGATACTGTCTATGTTTAAATAGCTCTGTGCTGTTAGGGGTAGGGTCAGCTTATATCAAGGACTACCATCTAACCTAGCATAAACTTTGTGGAGCATGGTTTATCCTCCTGTAATTCAAAATTGTGCCCATTCGAGCTCTGACTCTAAAGTAAAACCCAGATCCTGATCGCATGTTAAATGGATTTAGCTGAATTGGACAAGAACCCAACATTTAAGTGGGTGGAGCACACTTAGGCAATTCAATGGTGAACTCTTTGTGTGGAAATGAACATGAGTGGACATACCCACAAACAGCTCCACTGTTGTAACCTTCCTGGCGACATTTTTCTGGAATATGAGGCACTGGTACTTTCCAGTATCAGGCACCTGCACATTGGAGATCCGTAATGAGATGTTTCCATCTTTGAGCTCTTTCATGATGAGGCTTGTCCTGTATTCGAAGGCTGGATTCTTCATCTCGTAGGCCTCACAGCCATCCCGGTACAAGAAGACAACATCTGGCTTCAAGCCTTCCTTGGACCACTCAACAGTCGGAAAGTCTTCCTTGTCAGAGATATGGAAACTGCACGGTAGAATAACATCTCCACCAGCAAAGGCAAGAACGTGCACTGGCTGATCCTGAGCAGGGGATCCACCTAGAAAAAAGAAAAGAAAAAAAAAAAGAAACACAAAAAGGATAAACAACCATATTAAAATGATAAAAACTAAAGTTATTGAAGTAGGCAATAAACAATGTGAGTAAAACTTTACTAGAAGGTATTCAATGCCTCCAGGTGGATTGACTCCTGTATGTTATTCTATGTGTTATAGGTGAAGAGAGCACGGAGCTACAAGGCAAACTCTGCAGTTTACCCGTCTTTTTCAAATCCTGATCAATACTCTGAGTATTGACCAGCAGGATTACAGTTACATTACAGAGACAATCAAGTCTATCCCATATATTTTTAATGCCACGTTAAAGCTATAAGGGCATACATCTGTAACAAAAGTACGACATCCAGAAGAGAAAGCCCCTTTGTAAAAGAAAAAAAATTCTGACACAGTAAACTGTTTTTTTTTGTTGTTTCTTTGTTTGTTTTGGTGACATTGTTGATTTATTTTTTCTCTTATCCAGTTTTGGCCATCTTATCTTATTTGAAATGAAAGAAAATTACCACCCAAAGAGCCCGACAGAAAACAAAGCTGCAAGACTGACAAGGACGTTTGTTTCTGAGGACTTTGAATGCCACAATCAGCTGCTTGCACTTATTATCTTTTTCACCTGCGTAACGTTGCAGCAGTACTTTCCTGTGACGCAACAATGACAGCTTAGTCACTCAAATATTCTCTCATCCAATTAATCATGAACTTCTGAATGCACTGCATTTCTGATGGCATTTATTTTTAAATGCATAGTATTTGGTTAATGATACAACTATTGGCACGAGTCCATCTATTGAGGTTTGCACTGGTTGGTTCAGCGTGATTAAGATATTGGCCAGTGATGATAACACAGGCTGAATTAGACGTGCACATCAGTGAACAACACTTTTCCACTGCTTGACAGAAGAGGAAAGGAATAGTTCATGAGGTAAGGTGGGGAAGTCCCCAAACCTGTAAGATGTATACTTTGTACATAATTGAAAATGTCCCACACTGTCTCACACATAATCTATGTCCCACACTTTGTCAGGACACAGATAATTGTGACATTTACGTAAGCAAGATGCATAGAAACACTTTATTTGGTACACCAGTTCAACTGCATGTCAGTGCAAATATCTATTCACACAAATCACGTGGCAGCAACTCCTCATTAAGACATGCAGACATGGTTAAGACTGAACATCAGAAACTTTGAACATGGTGCACAGTTCTGCACCAGTTAACAAACCGTACATTTCATTTGATTCAGGCATGCAGTGTGTGCATCTTTAACAATTAAAGAACAATTATGATTAAATGATTGCACATCATTGCTGTTCACAATTATGTTTGTGTTTTTTCCTCTTTCAAGTCCCCCATATTCCCTCTGCACTAGACTGTGGCATATTTAATTGACATATCTGTTATTTTCTCTGCCTCTCTTATCCATTTATAGATGTGTTATATTTGTATTGATTTGGGGTTACTTTTAAATGCATTATGGTTTTGTTTTTTCAAACTTTGTGAGTAATTACATTAAATAACCATAATTTCAGCACTGGTTAAAAATACTATGACTACAGTGTTTGTAGTAATTATACAGCACTACTACAGAATGTATAATATGAAATCCTGTCTATAATGTTGAAAACTATTCTTTTATTCTGAAAATCTCTTAACAACGTCCTGAGATCACTGCAGATTTGAAGCTTGACCTAAGGACGCCGAGTTATTATTTTTCAGCTAACTGGTTTGGCATGATTTGCAGAGGTAACGGCAGCAGGTGAAGTTTAAACAAACACTTTCTCGCACTAGTGGAAGACAAACAATCGCAGTATTGCTTGGATCCGCGGCTCGTGCAATGAAAGGTCATGTTGAGCTTGTGCTGTTAAGTACCCTGTTGACGGCCAGGAGTCACTGTTCACCGCTTGGAAAAGTTAATTTAAAGAAATCCTGAAAGAAAAACCTGTTGGCTCCTGTGATCTTTATCTGATAAATGCGATGCATGACGAGGGCGTTTTGCAGTTAACCGAAAATCCCTAACGTTCTTTGGCACTTCTCATTTACTTTTCTCTTTGACTTAACGTGAATTAAATCGTTGCTCTAAACAAAATCAGCATAACCCAGCTCTTTTTCTTACCCACATAGGATGACAGCAGACCGGCAACCACGAAAAGACGACGATACATCCCTAAAGGACAAAAGACTTTCCCCCTCAATTACTGAAGAACCAAATTAATGTTTCGGAAGTTATCATTCTCTCTGCAGACACCAGAAGCCTTTCAGATCAGTGTGATCAGACACACTGACTGACACTCACAACCTCAGACTTTTGATCTTGGTTTGGCTGTGGGCGGTGCCGCAGTTACGCTGTTTCTCACCTGCTGACACACTGACGCTTCAACACCAACAAAAAAAAGAAGAAAAAAGGTGGTGCTCCTGACCTCTCCAGGGGTCGCCATCTGGTGTTAAAAATGAAACATTACACTCGATTTACACAGTAAATGGGCTGATGGTGCTTCATCGACGTCTCAACTCTCCAGCTCCATAGTTTGATTCGTGGAGTCTGCCATAGTATATAGTTTGCTTATCTTTGTCGAAGCCCTGTGTATTACTTTAGTTATTATTAGGTCTGAGGCAGTTTCAGGCTGAATTACAGAGCAAGTAAAGCACGTCGTTTTTGCAAAACCTCAATGCAATTTTGCACTGATAAAGAGGGTGTTTGTAGGGTGTTTCTGTTCTTATAGAGAGAGACTGTACGAGTCCAGTTTCACGTTTATGTACAAAAACGTGTTGATTTAACCCAAATAAAATATATATTTTAAAAGAACGTTATTAAATCGATTTATTTTACAGCCTTCAAACAAATTTGTCAAAATATGAAAATGATGAAATCAAAGACCACAGTGTGTGTGTGTGTGTGTGTGTGTGTGTGTGTGTGTGAGAGAGAGAGAGAGAGAGAGAGAGAGAGAGAGAGCGTTATAGAGAAAAGTGACACCACAAATGCCATATCAGTGAAAGTGCACGGTAACGCTGAGACACGAGGTTTTATATATCTGTTGCTATATATTTACATATACATGGCATCTGCAAACAACGTTTAGCTTAAAACACTGAGCCATATTGTCGTCGTCACGATTTCCTCGTTTTAGACAGGAAGCTCACGCGGCTGATCGCACGTGACAGTGTAAACAAACAACAGAGCTCTTGCGCAGCAAGTCGTAGACTTTTGTTCTCTTTGAGGTAAGTCTTGCTCTTAAATACTTTTGATTATTCTCATCAGAACTGTTATAGAAGTAAAACAGCTTACAGTGCCAAAGGTTTTAACGTTTATGTGCAATTATATAAATATATCGTAACAAATAATACAAAGAAAAAACAAACAACAATACAGTGAAAGTGAACGTGGTATCCGTAACTTTCAGATAGGGTCCAACAGCAAAAGAGGCATCAATGCCTTATAAAAGATGAATGCAAGTAAACAAGGACACAATAGCAGTAAGTCGCAATTCCCAAAAGGTCGATTCTGTTGATCCCGATGTAGCGTTTTCAGTGGGAGAAACATTTCGTTACCCATCCAAGTACAGTCGATTTAAATGTTAAAGAGTTTTCTCAGCTGACGGAAGGGGAGCGTCACAGCAGTTCGGGGGATTTTAAAACCGTCCAGAATCGTTTCTATGTCTTTGTCGTCTTCTGGCTTTGAGATTAAAACAATAGAATAGAATAGAATAGAATAGAATAGAATAGAATAGAATAGAATAGAATAGCTTTTTTCGCATTATATGACATAATAAAATCACAGTTGCGTCTCTCTTGTGAGTCTACATTTTGATTTAACTTTGATACTTAATGTCATTTAACACAAAAGCAAAACAAAGAAGCTCATGACTAGAGCGACAAAACTAAGCCCGAAGTCAATGCAGAAACTTAACAATCGGTTTATATGAAAAGATCTGGAAGGGGAGTTCATTGTTTTAAAAGCAAATATAAAAAACGAATTAAACACGACCAGAAGAGGGAGGAAAAACAGTCAATGATGAAGAAAAGAGGACAAAACAAACAGAAAAAGCTTTTTCTCTTGGAGCAAAATCGCATAATTAGCATGATTTATTTTGATTGTCTTTAATCTCGTTAATTTTACAACTTTTCTTTTTCTTTAAGATTTCCAAGATGCATCTGTGGAGATATAAGTTATCATTGAGAGGCTACAGAGCCATGATTTTACAGCACATG